TGATAGAGCTGGCTATGAATCAGGTCACTGGATGAAAGATCCACAGAAGGACCTTGCCATGTAACTTATGGCAAATGTACACCTGTCCTGCAGGCTGGGTGGTACGGCACTGATTCCTTGATTAATGGATCTTCTGGGGCAGAAACTCTTCTAGAATGAACTCAGCCATACGTAGCTGATGTTAGGAAAGAGACTCATAAATCACACAAAGCAAGGTTGGCATGTGGCAGCTGGCTCAGCAGCAGCCCTCGGCCCAGCCTTATGCCCACCCGCCCTCTGCCCCAAGGGACCCATTGCTGCCCAGAGCTCTGCAGCAGGCAGCCTACTTAGCAAGGCAGCAGGACATGGCTCCTGTACCGGCGTTGACTCATGGCACTCACTCAGGGCACCAGAGCCCATCACAGTGACCAAACCAGTGGCTCTCAAACCTGAGCATGCATCAGAATCCCTTGGGTGCTTGCTAAACACGGACACTGGGCCCTGGTCCCAGACCTTCCAAGTCAGTAGGTCTGTGTGAAGCCTGAGTTTGCATTTCTAGTTGGTTCTCAGGTGATGCTCAAGAGGCTGGTCCACAGAACCACATTGAGAACTACTGACACACTTCTAAGGGGTGACGGGTGAGGAGTTGCATCTGAGCTGTTTATCCTTGGGCAAATTTCTTTCTCCTGACTGAGCCCCCCCCCAACTCCCTCCTCTGTGAGGTGTGTGAGTCTGAGCCTCCCTCAGGGGCGTGTAGCAGGACTAGGCATCTTCACAGCCCCCAGCATCACCAGCACATTCTTATTGAGGACTCGGAGACCACCACTAAGAAGGAAGGGGGGGGACACTGTGAAAACACCAAACTAAGAGAAGAGGGGAAAAAATGGAACAAATATACATGGAGGGCTTTCTCTAGGCAATGTTGTTTTTTTGTTTTGTTTTGTTGCTGTGCTGGGAATAGAACCCAGGGCCTCATGCATGCCAGGCAAGCACCCTAATCACTGAGCTACACCTCCAGAACCAAAATGAATGCAGCTTGAACGCTTTATCTTTACATTCACTTATGTGGCACTGGGGAGGTACAAAGTTGGAGCAGGCCTGGTTCCTGGCAGCAAGGAGCCGAGACTGACAGAGAAGCGAAGCCAGGAGCGCACCAGGAAAGGGGTGACAGAGGCCGGAGAGGGATAATCAGAACACTCAAGAAACAAGCTGGGGAGATTCTTTTAAGGCAGGGGGCGTTTCTTTACAGAAGCAGCCTTTGGAAAAATGGGCAACATTTGACCCATGGAGATAACAAGGCAGAGGGCAGAGGGACAACACAAAGAAACAGAAGCAGAAAACAGGGTGCAGGTGATGTGGCTGAGTGAGGAAGAGGGTGGGAGCCAAGTCTCAGATGCAGGACACCTTGACCGTGTCCGTGATGTGCCTCTACAGGTGGGGGAGTCTGTATGGCCTGGGTGGGGCATCCCTGCAGGGCCCACTCTGCTTCCCAGGGCCTACCCACCTTCCCCGCACCCATCAGGATGGAGGTCAGCCCAAGCTCCTACCTGACAGCCCCAGGGCCTAGGCCACCCAGCACACCCAGGAGAAAGCCCCAGTGCCACTCTACTGTCCCCACTGCTTACTGTGATCTGATTAACCTGAACAACTCTCTACTAGTCCCCTTCCCTGGAGACCAAGGCTCTGGAAAGCAGAGTCAGCCTGGGACAAGGGCAGCCCCTGCCCTGGTGAGCAGTGAAACCCATACCCTGCAGCTGCGGGAGACGTCCACCCACACATGGAGAGCAGCTCGCCTCCTGCCGGCTGGGAGCTACCCCGACCCTCACAGCCAGGAGAGGGAGAGGCCAGACCAAGGCTCTTTTGGGGTGTCCCCGTAGCACCCACCTCCAGAGCCTCTTCCTTCCTGGTTCTGGGCCCAGAACTCACACATGCTGCCAGCGCTGATTTCCCGTCTGCTGAGGATTCCCCAGAAGTGGGGACTTCTCCACCACTGCTTGGCTTGAGCCTTTGACTTCTGGCCCTGGTCCCTACGCTCTTCCAGCGCCTGGGGAAGCACAGCGAGTACAGGGGCAGCCTTCCTTCCCCTTGTGGCTTCTCTGCAGGAGGCTCCGTCCAGAACCCCACCCACCCAGCCCAACTCTGCCCTGTATGGCTGCCCCTCCAGGTGCAGAAGGTTGAAGACCTAAATGTGCGTACGCATCACCTGGGCCACTTGTTCCAATTACAGGAATACAGAGCAGCAGGCTGGGTCGAGCCCAGGGACACACCTGTTCACTAGCCCCTCAGAGGACTCTGAGCAGGTTGCCTCCACAGTAACCTGCAAGAGATTTATTGGAAAGACCTATTGTCACAAGACAGCCTTGGTTTTCAGGTGGCTTAAGGGGGATCAGAGACAATCTAAGAGCAAGGAGAAAACTAGTCTTTCCCAGGCCCTTCCTGATCGTTTGTATTAATTTTCTCCAGACAAGGATCACTGAATTTCCCAGGACTTCTGGGCTCACCCACCCCTCCCCACAGGAAGAAAACTGAGCCCTGGAAAAATAGTCAGTAGCTCAAGCAGCGTGTCCGTTTGGCTTCTATAACTTCCTTCCAGAATTCTTCTGTTTACAGACTGGTCTACATCACCACAGTGCTTCGTGTACAGGGTGGAAAGCTCAGGACACCCAGCAAGCTGCCTGCTGAACTGTCAGCCTGGCGAGGGTGACCAGTTGACTTTATCTGACCTTACCCAGCCCAAGGCAAAAGTCTCCTGGGATGTCATTGCGAGCTGTCCTGGAAGCATCATCTTCTGAGGGACCCCCAGGCCCCTTCTGGGGGTCCCCTAGATTCTGCCTTATCTTGTTGCTTTTACCATGTGGGATTACAGTTGCCTAATTTCTAGGTTCTAAATGAGTATTTGTCCACCTCCCTGCTCGAAATCAGCTCTTGAGGGCTGGGCCCATTTCTGTCCGGTTATATATGTGTCATCACCCCAGCAACGGCCTGGTATGGAGCAGGCATTTAGCAGGCTTGTTAATAATAGTAATAGCATGCATTTAGTAAGCATTTAGATGGGGTCAGATGCTTCCCAGTCATTAAATAAATCAGTCTTCACAAAAATCCTCTAGTGCTAGGAGTAGCCCCATTTTATAGGTCAGGAAATCAAGGATGAGAGATCAAATTATTCCAGATCACACAGCTACTGAGTTGCAGAGCAGGGATGGAACCAGATGATGGGGTCTGTAGAGTCCACACCCCTAGTCCACTCTTCCCCCCACTTCCCAAGTTAAAAGAGCAGGCGAGGGCTGTCCTCCAGATGGCTCTGGAGCCTCCGTCAACCTCTGCTGCTCAGGCAGCCTGGCCAGGAGAAAGCAGGCCTTTCCTCTGCTCATCTCCAGTTTTCTGCTACGTGCCTGGCAGTGAGGACCTCTTACCACAAGAGACACTGCCTGGGTCCCCTCCCTTCTTCTGGAGGAACACTGACTCAGACCAGCACCGGGGACAAATACCAGACACACTGAGAACATTCTCAGAATGAGCATGTGGACATTATGAACTTCAGTCTTTCCAGCTTTCCTTCCCCATTCCCTAGTGGGAGAGGACCACACCCCATCCAGTGCAGCAAAAGACCTTCCTCACAAGCCTTGGGGTGCCAGACCCCCTGGAGGACAGGGATGTTGGCTGGGTTATTTCTACCAACTGCAAACCAGGAAAGCCCTACTGAGAGGCTGGGGGAAGAGTCTTTGTGAAAACCTAAGCCCAGGGGCCAAGAGTGCAGCTCAATGGAGGAGCACTTGCCTAGTATATGTGAGGCCCTGGGTTCCATCCCCAGAACTGCAAAAACAAAACCAAACCAAAGCCAAGACCCAAAGGCCCAGAACCCAGGAACTGCTCCCTACTGGACAAGCTGGAGTTTGGGCCTGGGACAGACATCCCTCCTGCCGCCCCAGCCCTCCTGTTCTGGGAAGACTCTTAACCAGTTATTATTAATGGCCAGCCGGAGGGCTTTCATGGATTCCTCTAGAGGCTGGCTAAAGGTTGACAGCCTCCGTTTCCAGGAAGAAAAAGAGGTGGGAGGGAAAAGTGGGTCTCTGGAGAGGCAGACCGACTCAGGAGAAGCCAGCACCAGAGCCCCTCAAGGCTGGGAGCGACAATGGATGAGAGTAGAGAGCTGACCCACCCTGCCAGGAGGTGACCTAAGAGGGTGCTGGGCAACCAGCGGAACAAATAGAAGGAAGGATGGATGGAGATCGCAGCCAGGAGCTTCTGCTGTGACATGTCTCCTAAGTCCAGACCAAACTGGATGCTGTAGCCAAGTTGCACACACTGCGGCCAGCCGGAGCTTTGCTCCAGGCCCCTCGGGTCCATGGGTCAGAAGTTCTGGGGACTCCTCATCAGCAGTCCTGAGGTAAGTGGGGGCAGGGGAGGAAATGGCCAGGTCCAGGGGAGTTAGTGGTGCCTGGTCTGCCCACAGCAGTTCACATGTGCATTGAAGCAGCGTTTATTTTTACCTAGGTCGACTCAGCTTCTGATCAGACATGGTGGGGGTTTCCAATTGGTTTCCATGGAGACGTTATGCAGAACATCTGCTACCTGATCAAGCAAGCCTAGGCTGGCATGACTTTCTAGAATCATTGTACCATTTTTTACCCAGGAATAATGTCCTGCCTGAGTGACTTCTTGTGTGGTAGAGGAGGGGAAGGACAGCTCGGAGGGGCCATAGCTGGCTCCCAAGAAAGCAGAGAAGGTCTGCTAAAGTGAGCGTGGTGGTAGGGCCACTTACATTTGGAGAAGCCCTTGGCTTTCCATTTCCAAGTCCCATAGTGTCCCACAGTGAAGTAATAGAAGCCTGGGCTGAGCCGGTCCCTGGGATCGGGTCCCTGGCCTGCCCCAGGAGCAGGGCACCTGTTGGCTCTCCTGAGAGAGGCTGGCTTAGCTGCAGGAGAGGGTTAGACTGGAGCATGTTTGGTTTCACTCTGGCCCCGACTTTCCCCGAGCAGGGGAAGGGGGCGCTGCGTCAGAGAGGAAGGCACAAGCACACATGAACATGTAAGAAGTGGTTTTATTCCAGGTGTGTGTTTCATAAAGACAATGTCCTCAAGGACAGCTAGTGGCACATGCTTTGGTCAAGAAGAGGAAAAGCAAAAACAGAGTGGGCCAAGTCCCCACCCAGGACAGCTGAGAAGTCCAGAGCCTGACTGACCATGGAAACGAGGGTGAGACCCTCTCAAAGGCTCTCTGAGCAGCAGTCCTTACATTCAAGAGCTCATGCTCCTGGTCCCCAAGGGCCACGCCTGAACATGGCCTAGGCTCTAGGGAGAGGACTCCACCCCAACCCTGGTTCTATCCTAGCCCACAGCAGGAGCTTCCTGGATGAACAGGGGATCTGAAGCCAGGCTCACAAATGGCGGTGGATGAAACTCCACATCAGAGAATGGGAGAAGTGTGGCCAAAGGACCCGCACACTGTGAGTCCAGGGGTGCACTTATACCTGCTGAGAGTGCTGGCGAGAGCCAGGAGGCAAGAGGACACTGCTGGAGAACCCTCCAGAGTGGGTGCTGGCGACCATGAACACTTGGCTTCCAACCCCAAGGGCTACGTGGAGGGAACAGGGTGATGGCAGTTTGGGTGCAGCAGGGAGGGAGGTTGGGAGAGGAGGGCTGCAGGTCAAATAGCTCCAATCCAGAGCAGAGGCCTAGACCCTTTGAGATCAGGGACCTCTTTAAGAAGCCAGGGAAATCCTCTTTTCCTGGGTCATTCTCCCCAGGAAGATGCGCACACACACACATACACACACACACATACACACACACATACACACACACACAAACACACACCATTTGGGGGACAATTTCTGGAAATTCTAGACCTTCTGAAATACATGAACTCTCTAGAGTGTGGCTCTCTTCTATGAAAGACTGGGTGCTCCTGAGGTAGGAGCTGTTTGCTTTGGGAGGGAGACCCCAGGGGTCCTGGTACCAACAGATTATACTGCCCAAGCCAGTGGTTGGGGTCAGGTGCTTGAGGGAACAACAGGAAGAATCCCAAGACAAGGCCACAGGGGAACTGGGAATTCTCCACAGCCAGCCTCCTGGCTGAGTGCAATGGCTGACCTTTCAAGGGAATCCCTCCTGTAAGTAGAAGGAACTGAGAGTGCAGTTTAGCCAGGTGACTAGCCCCTCGGGACCCAGGGGGTGTTCATACTCAGAAAGGAAGTCACATTCTTATTGGCCACCCTGACCCATGACGCAGTATTTACAGAGAAAGCAGGGTTCAAAACCACAAACGAGGGTGGGGTTGCTCAAGGGTGCATGACATCTGCCCGTTTCCCCACTGGGCCCAGGCGGGGGTACAGGGCACCAGCTGGTCATGATGGCCCAAGAGAGAGGTCTCAGCCTGACACGTGGCCAAACAGAAGTGGAGTCTGTTTAATAAGCTGCATCCCAAGTCTGCCCTTAAAGATCCCTCTGCAGCCTCCTGCTAGATCAGCATTAAGGCTGGAGGCACGTGTGCGGCTCAGGCCTGGGGACTGGTGAAGGTGGGCAGGACGGCACCTGGGAAAGAGACGTTGGTCTTTTGTAGTTTTGCTGCTCCTCCATCCATGTTCTCCTGCGAAGTCTCCGCCCTTTGCTCCCAGGATCCCATGTCTCCCACACCCAACCCCTGGGTCTGGCATTTCTCAGGGCTCCGAACTTCTCAGCTCCTTCCAGTTCTCTACCTGCCCCTACAGGTGGCCTCTCCTCTCTGTCCCTCTCTTCCCAGCCTTAAGCCTCTCTACAGGCTGCCCACTTTCTCCTCTCAGGCTGTCCCCACTAGCAGGCCCCATGTCCCCATTGGGTCCCTCTGAGGGCCTCTGTCCTTCGCACCCCCAGGCAACAGGGGGATCTTCCACACACCACTGTTTGAGCCCCATGTAGGGCCAAAGGAGAGGACAAAAGGCCAGGGACACTTGATGCCAAGTCCCTAGCCAGCAACAGTCTGGCACCCTGACCATCTCCTCTCCCAGGGCAAGGCCAGGGAGGCATAAAGGACACTGGGTGTGCCCCTGTGCGCCCTCCCTGGAACAAGCTTTGGAGTAATGTGTGTCATGGCAGGGTGTTTGCTGATGACTCTGGCAGAGATGTGAGGAGATGGAAACGGCCCGCTTGACACTCCCACCCCAACCCCCTTCCAGTCCCAAAGTCTCATGCAAAAGGTACAAGAGGCCCTGGGGCTACTGTCATGTGTGTGGCAGCAGCTGCCACTGCTGGGCCTGGGCGTCAGCCTGGCACTTGCTGGTCACCAACTGGGCAGGCTTCGTCTCCAGGCAGAGGCCGCTAACTGAATGCTGGATGAAAGATCCTTTTCTCCTCCATTTCTGGGAGAGAGAGAGAGACGAGAAGGAGGGACACGAGAAAGCAATGATTAGAAATAATAATAATGTACCTTCACCTCCCTCATCCCCCCATTTAAAACAGGCTGCATGTCCCTTATGTCAGTGGCTGCCCATCCTGCCAAGCTCACAGTCCTGGCGGCAGGGCTGTCCTCTGGCTGCAGGGACCCTACTTAGTGCCACCTCAGCATCCAGTCCTCCCTGTTGTAGCTGCTGCCTCTTCCTCTTTCTCCCCCTCTAGACTGTGTGTGCCTTGGGAGTCAAGTCCTTAACTACTGAGCCACATCCCCAGCTGCTGTCTGGACCAGGGAGACAGTGCAGATGCCCACGGGCTGAGTCCAGCTCAGAGATGTATTTTGTTTGGACAGTACAGCGTTCATTTGAAATTTTGTTTAGTTACTACATACAAATCTGCACGTTGAGCTTCTATCTGGACATTGGGCCCAGTTTCTTAAATGGCATCAGTTGGCGGGCTGAGGACTTGCCTTCTCTCTGCTCCCAATGGGGCTTTTGTTCTCCAGTTTGTCATAGTCTCTGCCTGGTCCTCTAGGGACCTGGGCTTCCTCAGGATTCAAGTTTGTGAGTCTTGGCCTAGGTGAATTTCCTATTTCTGTGAATAAGATTTCTTCTTCCTGCAGCCTGAATTCTGACCCAGCCTATAACCATGAGGCTGATGACTGGACGCCATCTTTACAGTCATGGCACATTGAGCAGGACGACAGGGGTACTTGAGGTCCCCTATTGCACTTTTTGGTGACTTCCTCTCCCAGCTGTGATAAGCAGGGAAGAATTTTTGCTGAAGAGCATTTTAGAAAGGCCTAGATAAAGCATGGAGTGTTGTCTGGAACATGGAGAAGAGGGGGTGAGAGACCCAGATTTCAAGGATCAGGGAAGACAGAATAGTGAGACAGGTATATTTTTGGTTTCTCTCCTGTTTCCCTCCCATGCAACTATCTCTCCTCTTCTTTTTTTTTTTTTTTTTTTTTTTTTTTGATACTAGGGATTGAGCCCAGGGATGCTTAACTACTGAGCCACATCCCCAGCCCTTTTTTATATTTTATTTAGAGACAGGGTCTCGCTGAGTTGTTAAGTGCCTTGCTAAGTCGCTGAAGCTGGCTTTGAACTCATGATCCTCCTGCCCCAGTCTCCAAGCCACTGGGATTACAAGCATGCGCCACTGCGCCCAGCTCTCCCCTCTTCTTATATCCACCTAGTCCTTGAGAAGAGGTGGGAAGGCTCAAGACCACAGTTCTGAGGGAGTGGGTCCATGTTCTCACTGAGCAGCTAGGAGGAGAAGGATCCTCTGCACCCAGCCATGGAGCCAGAGCTAGAGCTGGAGGGGGACGTGGGGTGAGTAAGGTGAAAGGCGGGGGCTGCAGAGCCTGGGTTTCCCTTGGGAACGTGAGGCTGTGAGGGGCCAGATTGAGAGCCAACCTCTCTGGGTCTAAGTGGCCCCAGCTTCAAGCCTAAAGGTCAAAGGCTGGTGGAAGCAGCCTGTGGCCCCCTGCGGTTCACAGCATGCTATTGCTTCAGAGTCTCTGAGTTCCTCACATTCAATCACAGCAGCCAGACCTCTCTCAATGTCCATCTGGGGGCAGTGTGGCCATCCTCTCCCCAGGAGGTCTCACTGGCCATACCTCGGGGTGGCAGGGCTGTCCTCTGGCTGCACGGACCCTACTTAGTGCCACCTCAGCATCCAGACCTCCCTATTGTAGCTGCTGCCTCCTCCTCTTTCTCCCCCTCCAGACTGTGTGTGCCTTGGGAGTCAAGTCCACGCCCCTTCCATCCCCGTGGCCGGCATGATCTGTACATTCCCTGGCGCAAATTAAGCACCCAGTGCAGCTTTGTGATAAATGAATGAATCACCCAGTCATCAGGAGGGGCTCCCCAACTGGCAGGACTCTTCACTTCCCACCTGCTACCAGGTAGTTTCAGGACCTCCTGGCCACTCAATTCTGGGACTGGCCAGAGAAACAGTATCAAGTCACAGCATTTAATCTGCATAGTCTCTGTGCAGTTCCTTCCAGGGCAGGCAGAGAAGGTAGCCCCTCATTCTGTAAGTGAGGAGCCAGTCTCAGGGAGATATGAGGAGTGTGGAAGCTGGGACTGCTGACGCCATCGACCCCATCTAATGCATAGGAGCCTGGCTGGTATCTTATAGCCATCCAACTGGCCAAAAGGGGACAAAGGAGAAAAGGCCAGATTCCAGAGGCTTTGGCAGTGGGAGAGCTGCTTATGCTGTCCTCCTGGAAGGGGTGGGGCATAGGCATCCAGAGTGCTTGGATACCTGGCAGGACTCACAGGAGCAGAATGAATGGGCCCAGGAGAATCCTCTAAGCCCTGTCGGCTGGGTCAGCACAAAGGAGAAAACAATGCCTCAGCCCCAGAGAAGTATCTGAGTGCAGGCTGCCAGACACTTATCAGGTGTGTCCTCAACAATGAGAGGGTGGGCGTGGCTCAGGCTTTCCCTTCATGGAGGTCCCGGCTCCAGGTGAAGGGCAGACTGTGCACCAGCTCTGCTGCTGGGCTGGGCAGAGGATGAGCAGCTCAGGATAGAAAGGATAAGCTGCATCCCTCAGTCAGAAAGCATTCAGAAGCCTGGCCCCGTAGGTTAGTGCGCATCTAAGATCATAGCCACTTGGGAGGCTGAGATATCACAAGTTGGAGGCCAGCCTCAGCATTTTAGTGAGGTTCTAAGCAACTTAGTGAGACCCAGTCTCAAAAATAAATAAAAAGAGCTGGCCATGTAGCTCGATGATAAACTGTCCCTGGGCTGGATTCCCAGGACCAAAAGGGGGAAAAAGTAGTTCAGCATTAGGGCTGGGGTTGGGGCTCAGTGGTTACGCGCTTGCCTAGCATGCAGGAGGCACTGGGTTCCATTCTCAGCACCACATACAAATAAATAAAATAAAGGTCCATCACCAACTAATATATATATATATATATATATATATATATATATATATAAACTGTTTAGCAGGTCACAGAGCTGAGACCCCCCCACACACACACACACCCAGACTGGAGGGAGAGGACCCAGCTGCTTTTCCAGAATGGAATAGCAGACTCCCAGTCGTCCCTGACCAGCTGACCCTGGTAAGAAGAAGAGGGGTGGGTGGAGAAGCCTGCAGGCAGAAGGAGAAAGCCAGCCCTCCACCCTTGCCTGTACTCAGGTGGCCAGCCCAGGGAGCATGCCAGGAGGGTGGCGGGAAGCACTGCAGTAGCCTCAGGTCTTGAGTCCCCTCCCCGGGGAGGAGGCAGCACCTCCAGGCAGGAAGAGAACAGCATAGTAGGGAGCTCGGCTGGCTCAAGAAACCTGGCCTCCACTTCTCCTCAGTCACTGCTATGTGCCCTGAGCAAGTGACTTCAGCACTCCAAGCTATCAGTTTCTCCCCAGTTTCTATCAGCCTCCTCTCAGGACTCAAGGAGATAGTATGGGTGAGAGTGGACCATGGGAGGCTGGTCAGGTCTCAGTTTCCCCAGTCAGCAATCAAGAAATACTTACTGGGCACCTACTATGTGCTGGCTTAAGACTATTGGCTTAGGAGTCACACTGGCCAAGGTTTAAGTCCTAGGCCTCTCAGATGTGGGATCTGACTGCCTGTAATCAGCAAGCCTTGCTTTACTACCTATCAAATGAGGCAGTACTGGAAGCACCTCACTAGATAGCTTGGAAGATCAGATGTGGTGATCTATGTAAAACTCCTAACACAGGCTGGCAGTGAGAGCTGACATCTGTGCTGTGTGGTTGTCAGGGACCAGGGATACAGTATGAACAAGACAAACTTCCTGCCCTCAGACCTGCAGGACTAACATTAACCAAATACCTAAAGAAGCATTTCCTCAAGGAACCACCATTCGACCCAGCTATCCCACTCCTTGGTTTATACTCAAAGGACTTAAAATCAGCAGATTACAGCTACCTCAGGTTTATAGCAGCTCAACTCATGATTGGAACCAACCTAGGTGCCCTTCAATAGATGAATGGACAAGAAAAACGTGGTATATATACACAATGGAATACTACTCAGCCATAAATAAGAATGAAATTATGGCATTTCCTGGTAAATGAATGGAGCCAGAGAATGTCATGCTAAGTGAAATAAGCCAGTCCCAAAGAACCAAAGGCCCAAAGTTTTCTCTGATATGTGAATGCTAACTCACAATAAGGGTGAGGGAGCCAGGAGCTAGGGAAGAATAGAGTTACTTTAGGCAGAGGGGAGTGAAGGGAGGGGAGGGGTATGGGAATAGGAAGAATAGTAGAATGAATCAGACATTATAACCCTATGTGCATGAGCAATGTGGTTCTATATCATGTACAACCAGAAAAATGACAAGTTACACTCCATTTATATATGATGTATCATAATGCATTCTACTGTCATGTATAATTAATTAAAACAAATAAAATATTTTTTTTAAAAAAGAAGCTTTTTGGGGGGCTGGGATTGTGGCTCAGAAGAAGAGCCCTTGCCTTGCATGCATGAGGCACTGGGTTCGATCCTCAGCACCACATAAAAATAAAATAAAGATATTGTGTCCACTATAACTAAAAAATAAATATTAAAAAAAGAAGCTTTTCCTCATAGGCAACCGGTTGACTTGGTTCCTACGGATCCTCACTCTGGAGGCGTCTCTGAGACTACAGACTTCTGCCAAGGTCTGCCACACACACTGCACATCCCCCTGGGGCTGCTGGCCATCTGTGCCCAGGAGTGGAGACTTACCTGCTTGCTTTCTCTTGAATTGCACACCTGCAGTATGACTGGGGACCCAGGAGAGGACATTAAGGTGGAGGTGGCAGCCAGACACTTCCCCTGCTGTTGGATGAGATGGTCACTGAATAGCCATGCCTGTAAGACAAGGGAAGGACAGTTCTAGATGGCCAGATGGGCAGACAGGTGATAAAGCAAATATTTTTGTGGAATATTTTTACAAATGATTGTAGAAGCTGGAAGTGGGTGTATGGGTATTTATGGTACAATTCTTGGCATTTTTCTGTATGTTTGAAATTTTTCATAATCAAATACTGAGGTGAGGAAGTTCAGCTGGAGCTGGCCAGAGAGAAACCAAGGAAATACCAAGGGACCCTGGGGATGGGGGATAGTAGGACATGGAGCCAGGCAACCAGGGAGCTGGTCACGCTGGGGTCTCCATGACCTGCTCTAGTGTTGATGTGGATGTGACACTCATGTTCACTCGTGTGCTCAGTTCTGGGGCCTGCTGCTCATCACATAGCTGTGACCCAGGAGAGAAGGGGCCTCTCATAGCCTTTCTCCCCCTGCAAGTGTGTGGTACACAGAGGGCTGAGAAGACGCGTCAGGAGCACCATGAAGTCCCTGGGAAGGAGGGTGTGTGGAGGGTGTAGCTAGACAGGATGAGAATGGGTTCAGGGAAGTTGACCCTATTGATGGTCAATGCCCCTGGCTCCTGTCCCACTCCCAGATGTGACCCCGAGGCCCTTCCCAGCTTACCTGGGCTGGTGGGGGATTCTTGGCAGACCCTCTGCAGATCCCCATTCCAAGCAAGAAGTCCCCAGCTGTGTTCTGGCCCTGGGATTCTAAGCAATTAACCCCCTGCTTAATAATGCCAGGAAGTACTTCCTTCACCGGGACACTGAGGAAAAAGACAGCAGTCAGCCTGGTCCTCTGCCCTCCCCAGCCTACCCATGCCCTCTGGCAGAGGGCAGTGCCCAGGCATAAGGCCACTATGACCTTCAGTCCTGGCCAGCAGTGGGGGGGAGGGAGAGGGTGAGCATCAGTCCCAGTGTTTCCCAGGATTCCCTGAAGGACAGGTCTGAGAAGAGGACCCTGGCAGGAGAGAACTCAGACTGGAACACAGGACCTGGAAACAGGGAGAGGCTGGGGCCTAAACGTGGGACTAACAACCATCTCAAAATGATAAGGAAAGGGTGATTTTGAAGAGGCAAACTTAAAACACACAGATATGAAAGTGTGTTCAATCTCACTAAGGATTAAAGAAATACATAATAGATGGTCACCATTATGTTCTCCATATAGACTTATATATGCACATTCAGGCATATATATTTAATGACAATGCCCAATGTTGGCAAGAGGATGTGAGATTGACTCTTCTCATACCCCACCAGTGAGCGCATGTTGGGAGGGTAATGAGGTATTATGATTCAAAGCCCTTAAAAATGTGCACACCTCTGACCTAACAATGTCACTTCAAGGAATTTATCCTAGGGAAATAATCAAAGATGTGTTAAAAGATATTCATCTCAGAATGGTTGATGCCGAGAACACTGGAAAATCCTAGTTGTCCAACAATAGGGGCTGGGCTAAATAAATTCTGATTTATCCACAGGTTAGAAAATCCTGCAGCCATTATAAATGACTTTGTGAAAGACTACCTGGTAATCTGCAAAAAATATTCGTAGCATACTGTCAAGTTAAACAAGCATATTGCAAAATATTACATTATTAAAACTTTTTAAACATTTTTTTAGTTGTAGATAGACAACACAATGCCTTTAATTAATTTATTTATTTTTATGTGGTGCTGAGGATCGAACCCAGGGCCTCACAAGTGCTAGGCAAGCGCTCTACCACTGAGCCACAACCCCAGCCCCTATTAAAACATTTTATATGCCCAGGAAATGCTTAAACACACACACTGACACTCTTTGGGTAATGAACCTAGAAGGCTGCTGGCCCCAGCTGGCGTGGTCTTATACATCTAAGTTTAGAAGTTTCTTGGATTATGGACCCTCCAGGGGGTGATAAGAATCTGACCTTTGTCTCCTCTTATCTGTCTCCTGGTATCTTTGTCATAGAAAACATGTGCCTGGGGTGGGGATAGCCTAACATTTCCAGCATTCTTTGATGTGGACACCTTCCAGGATCTTGACCAAACCAGGGCTTTCTCAGGCTGGCCAGAAGCCTATGGAACCACAGGACCTGGCTCCCAAGGGGTCCCTGGCACGTCCTCTCCCTCCCGCTGCAGCAGCAAGCCTGCCTCCAGACCCTCCTTGAGAGGCTGGGCAGCTCTAGAGCAGCCGTGGCAAACTGCTGGCCTCCAAGCAGAATCTGGCTCTTAGGAATGTTTGTCTGACCTGTTCAGGGTGGTTGTTATTTGGTTTTCATTAGTTGGCAATAATTTTTTAATTTAACATAACAGAAAAATCTGAATTTGTGCTCTCTTGAAAAAAACAGAAAGATCAAGCCTCAACACGCTCACATTCCAACATGACACTAATCCACCGTCTGTGTAGTAGCTGTCCCTGCTGGGCCGGGCCTTTGCATCCCAGTCTGCCACAGTCCTCACCATTCCCCATTCCTCATCCCACCCACCTGACTTAGTTACATCACCTGTCTGACCATCGTAAGCATCTGAGTTGGTAACCCTCGCTAGGTACAAGGGCTTGGGGGACAAGAGATCCACCCTCTCTGCCTTGTCCAGTGACAATGTGTTAGATTTCCCTCTCTCCAGAGACCAGAGGCCTGCTGAAGCCTCTGTGAGAACTGTGTGGAGGACGGGGTCTGGAAAGGCTGTGAAGGCTCCAGGGCTTGCTCCTGACCCTCCTGTGCTCTGCTTCTCCCCATGTGCTGCTGCTGAGGGAGGTGTGACGGCTCATCAGCATGTAGGGGGCGGCGGGGTGGGGCAGGAAGAGTGGCTTCCCATTCACACTAGCGAAGAAACCCTGAGCTGGACAGCAAGCTCAAGAGCAGATGCAGCTCCTGATGTCACTCTGTGGCAGTGGTCCTGGGGCAGAGGGGATGGCAGTGATCACCACCTCCCCAGCTGCCTTCCAGAGGACTGAGCTGCCGGGTTTGTTGGTGGCCCTCTTAAGTCTACACCCGATTCCCTTCTACAGATCTGCTCCAAGCAGGACTGCCATTAGACCTTAAGATGCCTTAGAAGTAAGACATCTGTCCCCACTATGTTTTCCATATAGACTTGCATATATATATATATATATATATATATATATATATATATATATATATATACACACACACACACACTTAATGACAATGTCCAATAGAAGAAGATATCTCTTTATAGAAGTAAGATATCTGCTTCTCAAGATGCTACACTTCTATCCAAAAGAAAATTGTCATAAGGGCTGAGGTTGTGGCTCAGGGGTAGAGTGCTCGTCCAGTATGTGTGGGCCCTGGGTTCAATCCTCAGCACCACATAAAAAATAAATGAATAAAAGTATTATGTCCAACTACAACTAAAAAATATTTAAAAAAAAAGAAAATTGTCATAATACACTGGTTTGATTAGAAGAATATTTTCTGCCATCTGCTTGGAATTATAATGAGCACTCAATGTCTACTCTGTGACCAGCACTCTCACAAATGCATAGCTCAGCCGGGTACAATGGCACACATCTGTAATCACAGAGACTTGGGAGGCTGAGGCAGGAGGATCTCGAGTTCAAGGACTGCCTCAGAAACTTAGTGAGGCCCTGAGCAACTCAGTGAGACCCTGTCTCTAATAAAATATCAAAAAGGCTGTGGCTGGGGCTGTGGCTCAGTGGTAGAGTGCTTGCCTAACATGTGTGAAGCACTGGGTTCGATTTTCAGCACCGCATATAAATAAATAAATCAAGGTCCATCAACAACTGAAAAATATATATTTAAAAAATATATATTAAATATATAAAAAGGGCTGGGGATGTGGCTCAGTAGTTAAGCACCCCAAAAAATAAAAATAAAAATCAAACAAACAAATGCGAGGCTCACACAATCATTCTTGACAGTCCTGATAAAGGCAATAAATTATTGGCTGTGGCTTCCGAGGCAGAGGTCGGGACTGGATGGGGACGGAGCTGTGGCGGAAGTGCTGCAGGCTTAGGAGAATGAAAGCCTTCTCCTCCAGCCTCCTCAGTCTTCCTGTGACTATCTGAGCAACTTGGCCAGCTATTAGCCTCTTGGTTTTGGAGGGAAGCTGGCATTGCTGGGGCTGATACATCTCCTTTCAAACCGACAACTGATCCACTCCTGGCCTCTCCCTTGGAACTGGGGGTGAGCAACCCAGATAGCAATGAATGACAAAAGCAGCGGAGGCCCTCATGCTCCTCAGTCAACACAGCTGGTGTACTCTCCGCTCTCGACTTGGGATCCACCCAGGATCTGATAGGGCGCTGCTTCCTCGGGGGGCCTTGGGGATGCCACTGTGGGTGGGTGTGAGGTGTGGAGAGGGAGGACACTTCCAGTTCTCCCACTCCCTCCCACAGGCTTCCCAGTCCTGCCCCTGGGGCTGGGTCTGTGGGCTCCCTCCACCTGCTGTACAAACCCTGACAGGATGTAAAGAAATGTGTCACAGAAGAGACACATTCCATGTGAATGAGCATAGTCCCCTTAAAAGGAGTCACTTCAGGAAGTTGTTCACTTCTTATATTTTTATAAATTAATATTCTTCCCTACACAGCAATTGTCCAGGGAGCTGGGATTATCCAAGCCACCAACTTTCTTTCAAGGGTGCTGCTGTTGCTCAAACTGCTGGAATTTCTTGGAAATTGTCTGAAGAATCACTTTAGTCTTATTACTTTTGAGGCACGCTGTATTTGGGACCTGGGATTGTGTTATCTGGGTTAATCATCTAGCTTATTCCCTGGGTGTGGCTATGGCCTAACTGTGCCTACTTTCTAGGCATCAACTGTACCCTCCAAGGACAAAGATTTTTGCCTCTTTCGAGGACACTCAGGCTCTGAGAGGTGGAGTGTTCCAGAGAGCCACGGCAGCATCCTTGGGAGAGAGCTGGCAGTAGAGGGACAAGCTGTGGAGGGAAACTGTAACTTAGACATTATGGAGGCACACTGATCCTGCGATTTAAATGGTTATCAAGCGCCTATGTTGTGACAGGCACTATTCTAGGTGCTGGAGGCAGAGCAGTGGCCCAAACAGATCCAAACCTCTGCCCTCCTGGAGTGTACAGCAAGTTGACAACAGAATTAACTGGCCAGATATACTCTAGATGCCAATAAGGGCTATGGAGGGAAATCCAGCAGAGAATGCGAGAGGGCAGGCTGCTGCCAGTTTACAACATTCAGAGAAAATGTTCCGGAGAAGGGGACATTCGAGTCAAGAGCTGAAAAAGGTGAGAAAATGAGTCACTCAGATGAACCAAGACACCGAGAAGGATTTGGAAATAGGAAAAAGGGGGTCCCCAGCAGTCACAGCTGCAATCCTGTTGAGAGTGCACACAGGTTCCCAGGTGAGCACAACCCCAGGACAACGCCATTCACATTTTGCTACCTCATACGCTGGAAGAAACATTTGTCTACTTTTTTTCCCCACAGTCTTGGTGATCAGATTCTTGGATGCATAATATTTGTTTAAATCAACGGGATTCACTGAGCCCAGCTCCTCCTGAGAATTGTTTCTCCTTGTGCCACAGCAGCAGAGAAGCCTGCAGAGTGACCGTCAACAGCCTTCTGCTGTGGCTGTTGTATTTCCTCAGGATAAATTCCCACAAGGAGGAGGATAGGGTCAAAGGTGCCGAGAGTTTCTGCAGCCTTGACTGCATAATGCAGTGCTGGGGACAATATCCATTTTTAGATCAAAGACACAGTCTGTTAAAAATTCGGTTCCCATCTATCACACCTAATAGACAACTCCTGGCAATGCCCTATCAGTTTCGCCAGGGCCTTGTCCCAAAGATAAACACTGGCAGCCAGAAGGAGCCAGACCAGGTAGGGAGATCCCCCTGGGCAGCACAGGCCCATGTGCAAGGTGAGGGCTGCACTCACGTGAGCTCGGGGTAGACGTTCTCCAAGTACCAGCGGAAGGACTTGCAGTCCATCTTCTTCCTCTGCTCGATCCGAGTGGCCACACTGTGCGGGAGACAAGGAACCGGGCAAGGTCCCTGTGTGGGGAGGAGGCCTAGGAAGGATGGCAGAAGTCCCTTCCAGGCCCCCGAGGCTGGTCCCCTCTTCCTGCCTACTAAGGCATCAAGGGCGAAAGCCATGGAAACCTGCCCAGTCCAGCCGTGGCCACTTGCCTCCTGTCATCCCCTGACCTGGAAGGTCTCCTGTGTCTCCCTCTTTCCTATCTCAAATCCTGCTTGGAGAGCACCTTTCTGGACAAGCCCAGCTCACAGGTGACCACACTTTGCCCCAGGGTACTCACTCCTGAGACCTCAGTTAGCACACCTCAAACTGGTCCTTATTTTTGCAGAGACTTTGTGAACTAGAAGCTGTCCTCTCCTGCTTTTCAGTTGAGGAGAAACTCTCAATGACAAGAAGAGCAGACTTTCTACATCTTTCAGGAGTCAGAACCATCCGGTGGGTCCCTGAAACACTTCGGTTCAGCTTCCTCACCTGCCTCAGTCACACCGACCACAATGGCCACCAGCTGAGGACCCTCAGTGCCACCTAGCCCAGCCTCAGTTTCTTCTACAGTAAACTGGGGACATGATTACTCACCTTGGGAGGTTTTTGTGATAAGAAAATTAATTTAAAGGGACATGAAGCCCAGGATCGTCCTCAGTAGATGATAGTTTCCCATTAAAAATACATAGTGACATAACTCTTTTTAAATGATAGATATAAATAAATAGAGGGAAGATGATTCATCCATGATTGATCATTAACAATGTTTCCAAACTTCTCTGACCACAACTTTAAGGAGGAGATAAATATACATCTTACATCGTGATGTAGTGTACCCCGAGTACACCCACAGGCACACACGCAGGTGTGCACACACACACAACAGAAATGAGTTTTATAAAACAATACTTACCCTTAATTGCAATCAACTCTGATTTTCTATTCTGGTCTCAACTAATCTAATCTGTGGTGCTTTTCTCTTTCTCTCTTTTTTAATGCTGGTCACGACTCCCCAAATTGATTTCGCAACCCATCTGCATTTTGAAAATGTTTCACTCGACTGTAGTCATAACAGTCCACGACAGGAAAACAGACTGACAGATCACAATCTGAACGGGGGAGGAGGCAAACCTGAAATGCCTTCCACAGACAGGCCCTCCCTAAGAGGCCCCTCTTCCTGCACACAGCTCAGCCCGTGGATGGCACTGCCTTCACAGCAAGCCTTTTCTCACGTCCCCAGCCCACCCCATGAGGAGCATGCTCTTCAAGGACCAGGGTCTTATCCCTGCATCGTGTACCCTTCCTGGGCCCAGAGGAGCCCAATCAGGGCCCGGTTGCCAGGGAGATCATGAGTGGCTCCCTGGCTGCACACCACTTCCTGTTGCAGGGGCCATGTTCACATGGGTGGAGGGGGACAAGTGGCAGGGAGGCTTGTTGGAGGGGCCCACCTGCCGAAGGCTTTCCCGATGGCCGAGGGCCGGGCCTCATAGTAGTACTGCTTGTATTCATCCATCCACACCTCTGCTGTGCGCTTGGTGTTCCTAAAAGAGGAAAGAGCAAGTTCACCAGAGAGACAACAGGGGAGGGTTAGGATCAAGATGAGCTCTATATGATTTTTGTTGTTGTTGTTGTTAATTAAAAACATATTTGCTGGGCGCAGTAGCATACGCCTGTAATTCCAGCAGCCCGGGAGGCTGAGGCAGGAAGATCGTGAGTTCAAAGCCAGCCTCAGTAAAAGCAAGGCACTAAGCAACTCAGTGAGACCCTGGCTCTAAATAAAATACAAAATAGGGCTGGGGATGTGGCTCAGTGGTCCAGTGGCCCTGAGTTCAATCCCCGGTACAAAAAAAGAAAAGAACACGTATTAAAAAAGTTGAGCTCTGTGAGTACAGTCTCATTGGAGGACAATCTGTCGATATCCATCAGCTTTGACAAGGAAGACTGGGTTAGTATGTGCTGACATGGAAGGACATTATGACACAGTGTTGGGTGGCAGAGAAGCCACTGAAGGATCACATGGCATACCCGATCCACACAGACACAAATGTAACTGTGGTGGGTGTGTCTCTCTATATAATAAATCGTATATGTGAAAATGTATTTAAAGGTCTGAAATGACAGACCAGCAATCTATTAACAGTAGTTAGTTCTTGTTAAGGGTCTGGAATGAAAGACTATGTACTAGTAATGGTAGTTATTTCTGAATAGACAATCAGGATGCATGGAGAAAGAATGGGTAAAGAGGATTTTTGCTTTTTTCTCTGTAATGACATAAAAAAATATATAATATCAATGTACATAGTATGCATATTGGTACTGCTTGAGTTTTTACAGTAAACATGCATGACTTTTATGATTATAAAAACAATAAAAATGGGGTAGAGGAAGCCAAACAAAACTCTAGGTCACTCATTTTGCTAGACTTGGGTAGTTGCTTCTCTAAGCCATGCATAAATAAGCATGGCTGTAGAAGGTGGAGACTCATCCTTAGGAGGAGGGGATGCTCATGACTTCCCCACCATCCCCTGGCCACCCCTATCAGGACAGTGGGTCTTGGGGTGGGCTTCTAGGACTTTGCCCCCTCTCCTAAGACCAAGTGCACCCTGTGGCTGGGGACAGGGAAGGACAGATGCTTGCATGAATTACAATCTGGGATACTGGCATCCAGAACCATGTGTACCTGGGGTTCAGTGAATGGAGGACAGTAGTTATTTGGTCATTTGGCCAGTTTTCCAAGACTGTCATGGACAAAAGGAGTCAAGACCAGAGAAAACTGGTGGTAACACTCCCAACTTCATCCTGGAATCCCAGAATGTCAGACCTGGGAAGGGCAAATGGGAAAACTGAGGGCAGAGAAGGAGGATGGCAGCCCAAAGCCACCTGGTGAGTAACCATCAGGCTGGGTCTGGAGCTGTGGTGTCCTGCTGGTACTCCAGGGCTCTTTCCGCTGTCACCTACCTGATGTAGGTGAGGGCATTGCCCTCAGGGAAGTTGTAGGGGTGCCGCTTCCTGAAGACGTGGCCCACCCGGCTGCAGGGGACGATCTCCAAACTCCCACCGCACATCCACACCCTGAAGGAGAGCTCTGCAGGAGACAGCAGCCATGAGGAGGCAAGACGAGACGCACTGGGTGAGGGTGAGAGGGGCTGGCTGTCTCATTGTCTTGCTTGCTTTGGGGGCCTGAGGATGGAACCCAGGGCCTTGCGCACACTAGGCAAGGGCTCTCCCACAGAGCTGCCCCGCAGCCCTCCTTCTCTTTGTTGTATCCCTGGAGGTACCTGCCGGGGTTGAGCTCATGGGCCTGATTAAAGGGGTATCCCCTTCCTTGCACATGCTTACCCATGCGCGTACACAAATGCCCTATGGCTGAGCCCCAGGGAGCAGTGGGAACGGTTTTAAAGGGACACCAAGACCATGAATGGAGGGGAAACTGCACCAAAGATTTCCCGCCTGGATCCAGAGGCCCTGGCCAGACACAAGCTCTGGGCACCTGTGAGCCAGAAAGCCAACCACCAACCAAACCGCAGGCTGCTCCTTGGCATTTCTCTGGTTGGTGCCAGTCCTGCCTCCAGCCCCAGATGGTATCCAGGCCCTCTTGAGACTCACTTCCTTCTGAGGGTGGTAGTGATGCCCAAAGAGCTTTGCAGAAAACTTTGCAACATCAGGAGATGCAAGAAGTCGCCACTGTGCTTCCCATAAGACCAGATGTCACGGTCTGGCCTCTTTGTTCTCCACTTGACAATCCCCTTTTATAGCAAGGACCCTCCTGGGCAGCTCACCGAGCCTCTCAATCTGTTCTTTCTTTTTCATTTTAATTTTTTTTTTAGTCATAGATGGACACAATGCCTTTATTTTATACATTCATTTATTTATTTATTTAATATATTTATTTATATGTGGTGCTGAGGATCAAACCCAGTGCCTCACGCGTGCTAGGCAAGCACTCTACCACTGAGCCACAACCCCAGCCCCTCTCAATCTCCTGAATTCCTCCTTTCCTTCATATTAACCCTAGAGTGAGACAGCATGTGGCACTGAAACACCTTTTTTCCTGCCCCAGGAAGTCCATAATTAAATAAAAAATTAAAAAGCTGGTCCTCTCAGGAGTTCTAGCCTTGATCCCTCTTCCTACTCCCCAGTTGGCCCTAAGGACTCTTGTGGTCCCTGGGTGGAGGCTGTCACCTGGCACACCTGGATGGGGGCCCTCCCAATGATGAGCAGAGTGGAAATGGAGGAAGCAGCACTAACGCCCCCTTCTGTCCAGACTGTGCGCATCAGGCAGCGTTCAGATGTGGCCTGGGGCCAGGATGGCCATTTGGCTTACCTGGATCCATACAAGGTGGGTCATGTTAATGAGCTTCCCTAGAAACTGAGGTTATAGAACTAGGGACAGAACTGGGGGACAGAGGACCTATACTATGGTTCCATTTCTGCCAGACCAACTTTGTTATATAGTTAAGTTACTTACTTCATCCTGCTCAGCCCATGCCACCCAAACTATTGTTAATTACTGCTACTATTATCAACAGTGGCAATGACGAGAGCAGTAACCACCATCCATTTACTGAGAGCATTTACCACGTACCATGCTCTTGACATTCAAAATCTAATTCTTACTGCAGTCATGTGAAGTCAGATTATTATCATTCATACCATTTTGGGGTGATTTTTTAATTTATTTGGTTTTTTTTTTAATAATTATTTTTAGTTGTCAATGGACCTTTTTTATTTATTTGGTTATATGCAGGACTGAGAACTGAACCCAGTGCCTCACACATGCTAGGCAAGCACTCTACCACTGAGCCACAACCCCAGCCTTATCCGTTTGTTTTTGAGTTGGGGTCTTTCTATGTTGCCCATGCGGGTCTTGAACTCCTGAGCTCAAGCCATCCTCCTGTTTCAACAGCCTGAGTATCTGGGACTACAGGTATTGATCACTGCACCCAGCTATGCGTTATTTTGTTTTGTTTTGAGATAGGGTCTTACTTAGTTGCCAAGGCCGGCCTCCCTAGTAGCTGGGATTATAGGTGTGGTCCACCACAATTGGTTTAACTATATGTTTTTAAAATAAGGACCGTGAAGGTCAACGATGTTAAATGACCTCTCCAAAGTCATCCAACTACTCACTTACAGAATTGCAACACAAAATTCACACTTTTAGGATCAGATTCTTTAGTTCATTAGGCAACTTTTTATTAAAAACCTATTACATGTCATACTATTCTAGATTCCTTTATACTCTAGTAGGGGGAGACAGAAATTCAGTAAAATAAGTGAACAAGAAAGAGCATAGAACATGTAGCATATCAGATGGTGGCCACGGGGAAGAGTTAAGCAGGGTAGGGGCTAAGGAAGGGTAGTGGGTTGGGGGGATATATTTTTAATTAGGTGGATCAGGGAACTTCTCACTGAAAGGGGGACATCTGGGACAAGACCCAAAACAGGAGAGCAAGTGATTCATGTGACTTTATTGGAAATATCAGGGGTCCTGGGCACCCCAGGAGCCAAATAAACACTAGGTTTGACATTAAAGACGGATGGGCTTGTTTTCCCTCAACTGTTAGGGAAAGAACTTTCTAGGCAGAGGGACCAGCAAGGGGTATACCCAGAGGTAAGAGCTGTGAGTTGCAGGGGCAGCCGTGCAGAGTAGGAGGCCCCGAGAAGTGGGAGATGAGGTTGAGCTCATGCGGTGTGGTTTAGGGGAAAGGCTGATGGTGCAGGGCCTGGTCTCCATGGTGCTTTGAGTGACATGGAGCCCTTGCTGGGTTTGAGCAGAGGAGGAACACAATCCAGCTGTTTTAAAAAGATTCCTGAGCCAGGCATGGTGGTGTACTCCTGCAATCCCAGCGGCTCAGGAGGCTGAGGCAGGAGGATCAGAAGTTCAAAGCCAGCCTCAACAAAAGCGAGGTCCTAAACAACTCTGAGAGACCCTGTCTCTAAATAAAATACAAAACAGGGCTGGGGATATGGCTCAGTGGCCAAGTGCTCCTAAGTTCAATCCCTGGTACCCCCCAAATAAATTAATAAAATGAAAGGATTCCTAAGTCTGGGGGTGCGACTCAATGTAGAATGCTTGCCTAGCATGCACAAGTTCCTGGGGTCAATCCTTAGTACCACCAATAATGATAATAATAATAATAAGTAATCAAACAAAAATAAAATTATCCCTAAGAATAATCCCAAAGTTTTCACACCTGCCATCCCCACTCAAGGTGGCCTCTGGACTCCTGAGTTTGAATGTCCCAGGGGACATAGGAACACGTCTTAGTTTGGGCATCTTCCTTCCTTCAACAGAGGAATGAAATGAAAAGCTCCCACCCACCAGAGACGCGAGTCTCACGCCTCAAAACTAGTCCCACAGCCGACTGGCTGGGCACTGCAGCTCACCTAGACATTTCTTTGAATGCACAGACGTTTCTTTGAATTTCTTGTAAGAAACAAACCCTCGGCAGAACCACTCAGCAGTGTTCCTTTCAAGTTCCCCAAACTCGGAGCCCTCGCCTCAGGCAGAGTCTGGAGTTGGCTATTTGATCATTCACTTGTCTCTGTCAGTCCCCCGTGAAAGAAAGAAAGGACGGAAGGAAGAAAGAATGGGAGGGAGACAGGCAGGCCGGCCTCCGGATGCAGACAGGCTGTTTCTTTTCCAGTTTTCTGAGTCTTTTTGCAAAACTGGCTTTGCCCACACTGCCTTCAGGCTGAGTCCCAGGACACAGAGGAGGTCACTGGGGCTCAAAACACATGAAAGGGGGTCAGGATGGAGGAGTCACTACACCCCAGCTGCCAGAATTTACTCTTCCAAATGCTTGCCTGGCAGCGTTTTCCAGTAGTAAGTTACAAAGTGGAGAAAACCGACAACCATTTCCACCAGGGTGGTTTGAGCAGGACTGTTTACAGCCCACTGTTCCTGGGTTTCCCAGGCAGGGAGAAGAGCCCTGCTTCTAACCTCTCGGAGACACTTTGACTTTGATAGCATTTCCCTGACACAGTGGCTCTGCTAGGAGAGCTGCATACACCTGTCAGACATGCCATTTCCTGATTGAGACACAGTGCCACCTGTTTCCCCACCTGTCAAATGGGTGGGACACCTCCCGTCCTTCTCGTTGGTCCAGAAACCAGGTCAGGATGAAAAAGGAGACAGTAGGAAAGGACTGTGAGGGTAGGAATGGGCCTTGCTTCTGGAGACCTGCCAGATGGTCTGCCCTTCTCCACCCTGTGTGGGCTGCCCCGCTGGGCTTCCTTTAGGAGATGGCAGAGGGGTGAGGAGGGTTTATCCCCATGCCCTCCCCCGGGCACCACACCCATGAGGGGGCTCCTTCTCCATCTTTCCTACCTATCCATGATTATAGCTCTCTGCAGTCATGGTACCACCCAGAACTACACTGACCCAGTCCGTGTAACGTGGCCACACTGTAAATAGGTCCTTTCCTAAAAACCCATGTAGGGGTGCCATCTGGACCCTGCCTGGACTTACTCAATCTGACCTCCATTTCATTGCACCCTGGGGGAGAGGGCCCTTTCCTTCCCATTTTGCAAACAAAGAAACTGAGGCTCAAAAAGTTGACTAACTAACCGAGGACACGCAGCCCACACAGGCTGGAGTTGGAGTCTGGGCTCCGACAGGTGACAGGTGACCACTCCGGGGTGCTCTGCAGCCCCAACACCCAGCTGAGAAGCCAGCGTTGAGGGGGCAGCAGATCCAGCTCCCTACTGTCTCCTTCCCTGCTGCTTCTGGGAGGACTAGGCAGCTTCCTGATCCTTCTGGGTCTCAAGGGTTCCTACCCAAGAATACACAGCATTATGGCCTCCAGCACTGTGGTCTGCATTTCAATTCCTCCTCCATTTATTATCATTGCAATCTCTGCAGGGCAGAGGCTTGGGGGGACTTTCCCTGGCCTAGGGTCAAAGAGCAGGTGGGAGGGCCATCATCACATGTAACCACCCACTGGCTGCACACCTCCCAAGCCCTTCTGGTAGGGAAGCAGCTGTGGTCTGTGTTCAGTCACTATGTCCCTCCACACACACTTAACCATGTGGCCGCAGGCTCTCCCTGAATACCTAAATCTCTTGACTAGCTGTGGATAAATTGCTTTACCTCTTTCTGCCTCAGTTTTTTGATTCGTAAAATGGAGATCATGGTACTTTCTCCAGATCCTTGTGAGAATTAAATTACTTAATATGGGTCAAGTCCTTACGATGTGCTTGTCAGGGTTATTAATATTGCTGTTGTTTTTATTGTTATTATTTTTCAACTTACCGAAATTCTCTCCCCCCCAGATGTCCATTTGGGCATCATATTTTCCCAAGTGGTTAAACCAAGACTTGTCAATCACAAAGATTCCTCCAGCTATGACAGGTGTCCTGGGGGCAAAGAGAGAGAAGAGGCAACTGTGAGCTGCAGAAGCCAGGAGCCCTTTAAATAGCCCCAGGACCCAAGGCCACTTGACCCAAGTCCCTGCCTGCAGAGTCACTGTGGCAGGATGTCTGACTGGCTCTCTGGCCCCTCCTCTCAGTCCCTGCAGGGCTCAAGCACCCAGAAGAGAGCTGGCACCAAGACTGTGCACCCTCAGGAGCCCTGGTGACCGGTCTGTCCTCCCAAGTACCTCCCAGTTCCCAGACCCCTGGCCCAGGGAGAAAGGGGACTCCTCAGAGTTCATGGCAGCCTGACCTTATGGGTCTGGTGGGGTCTGTCCGGGTCATCTTCTGCTCCAGAGGGATCTGCTCCCACTTGAAATGCAGGCTCCAGTCGAATCCTAAGGGACAGAGCAGGGTGAGGACAGGCTTAGGACAGAGCTAACCTGCTTACCCCCTCACTCTGCCACCCCCCAGAGTCTCCCTTGATCAGAGCCCAGTGGTAGAGGCTCTTCATGCAGTCACTCCCTCATTCAGAAGGTGACAAGCCCCTGACTTCCTGGGGTTTACAATCTGCTGATCAGACAGACACCCCAAAGGTAAATAGATAAGGGTTCTGCACACCAGTCGGGGTGAAAAGTACTTCAAAAAGAAAATAAAGGCCAAGCACCATGGAGCACGCCTCTAATCCCAGCGACTCACGAGGCTGAGGCAGGATCACAAGTTCAAGTCCAGCCTCAGCAATGTAATGAGACCCTATTTCAGACTTTTTAAAAAAATAAATCAAAAGGGCTGGGGATATGGATCAGTGGTAAAGCATAAAGTACCCCTGGGTTCAATGCCCAGTACCTCAACCCCCAAAACAAAGGTAGCCAGCAAAGGTTCTCTGAAGAGGAACCTGAATGAAGGGTGGATCCATGAAGATATCCTGGAAGAGGGAATTCCAGCCAGGGCAGCAGCAAGCGCCAGGGCACTGGGGTGATTTTCCAAAGGGGAGATGTCTGGCCCCTCAGAACCCCACCAGCCCCAAGATCTAGCTAATGGTTAAATCCATTATTTGGAGTACTGGCCCCACAGAAGAAATCCACTATGGCCCCCAGCTCTTCTCTAGACCAGTGGTGGTCAGGAACTTTCTGCAGTGGTATACTTGTTTTATATCAGCACGAATGTGGTAGCCAGGACCTCATGTGGCTGTTGAGCACTTGAAATGTGGCTGCAACAACTGATAAACTGAATCATCAGTTTAAGTCTTAGTTTATTTTAATTAATTTAAACTTTAACAGCTAAATGGGGCTATTATCTATTATATGGGACAGTATAGTGCCAGTCTAGACCAGAGTGTTCCAAAAGAAATATACTGCAAGCCACAAACCTAAGCCACAGACATAATTTAAAATGTTCTAGGAACCATATCAAAATGTAAGAACATATGAAGTTAATTTGAATAAAATAGTCATAATGCAATAAATCCAAACTAATATCATTGCAACCTATAAAAAATAAAAAATACTAATGACATATTTTACATTCTTTCATACTATGTCTTGGAAACTCCAACTGCCGCAGTCTGTTTTTTTTTTTTTTTTGCTTATAGCACATCTCAGTTCCAACTCATCAGTTTTCAAAATGAGCCACTTTTCAAGAGCTCAATAGCCAAATGTGGCCGACAGCCACTGTATCACACAGCCAGGCCTTGGCCACCTCTGGGGTGTACGTGTCAGGAATTCATGCAAGGCTTAGAGCTCCCCCTCCCTTACCCTAGAGACAGCTGTCCCATAGTGGCCTTCTGCCAGGACCTGTGGCCATGGTCTCTGGGCTGGCAGCATTTGGAAAGGATGTGCCAGTGCTTGGGGAGGGGAGATGAGTGACTAGCCCGGCTCTGTCACTGATTGTTCCAGAAACTTGCAACTGCCAGCTCAGGCCCTTTGCCCTTGTACCCAGGGCTCCATCCAAACCCTCTTGATTTTATCTTTGCAAGGAAGGGTTGGGGTGGTGCAAGACTCTGGCATGGCTGGGAAGAGCTCCAACCCAGGACTCTGTCTGCCCTCACCTGCCTCTTTTCAGACCTCGAGCCCCTTCCCTGGGGGCAGGACCCACCTCCACGAAGATCAGCAGATGCTGCCAGGTAGGCAAAATTATCCAGACTGATGACATCAATGATGGGACTCACTACACGGGTGTGGTCCTAGGAAGGGGGTGTGAGATGGTGTGAGATCCTCTGCAAAAAGGGGGGAAAAAAAAAAAGGCCCAGGCCCCTGCTCTGGGAAGAAGGTCTCCTTGGACATGGGGTAGTCAGCCCAGACCCATCCCAGAACCCTGACAGGCTCCTAGGAGCTGTGTGCATCTTCACACCAGGCTCCTAGAAGGTCCCTCCTGGGTCCCTAGGGCACCATGCTCCCCGGCCTCTTCCTGTCCCATCATTTCAAGGCTGCTGGGATCTCGCCTCCCTGACTGCTACCAGCTGAAAGATTTCTTCCTCTTTTAAGCTGCTCTCACCATCAGTGTGAGACAGTGTCCCAACTCCTGGGACAGTGACTCAGATGCTGTGTGAGCTGGCCCTCCTGTTACTGGTTGAGCAGGACTTTTGTTTACTGCTACCTACCGCGGGACATGTTCTGGGTGAGTCTTCCCAGTTGGACCACCAGCAACTTGAGGGCAGGGGTCCTAGGATCCCCAGGTAAGTGGGGACAGGTGTCACTCCTCTCAGGCCACATCCAGTACAAGGTAAGGCTGGCCACTCCCTGCACCCCCCAGAATCCAAGTCCAACTGCAAAACACCCGTGAGTACTGTGGGCTTTGCTGTTTTGTGGGAGAGGTGGATTACGTCGTAAACCTCAGGCAAAGCTCTCAACACTTTCTCTTAAACCACATTCAAAACTTAGTCACACTTTGCAGCCCCCTTTGTGTCTTGCTCTCCAGGGGCGCCACAGAGCAGCACCTCTTTTTCCCCCTCTTCTCTTTACCTACTCTGCTTTCACCCTCAAATCTCTCTTGTCCCTAACTTGGGCTCCAGCCCCACGCCTCAGTTCCCATGCCCTCAGGATAATGAAAACCTAGGGAGGGGGCTGATCAGGGGAGATTGTCCCATTGCCTATCTGTGCTGAGGGGTGAAAAGTGCTGTAAAAAGAAAATAAAGACCAGGCTTTGTGGAGCACACCTGTCATCCCAGAGATTCAGGAAAGCTGAGACAGGAGGATTGCAAGTTCAAGGCCAGCCTCAGTGATTTAGTGAGACCCTGTTTCAACATTTAAAAACTAAGTCAGCCTCACTGCTTCCTACTCATAGACATCTCTGTGCAGAGACAGAATTCACATGCCCTAATCTCACAGTTTGAAAGTGTCCAGTTCAGTGGTCTTTAGTACGTCCAACCATCACCACCGGCTAGTTCCAGCACATTTCATCACCCCAACAGGAAACGTTGATCTACTTTTTATTTCTGTGAATGTGCTTATTCTAGACAGTTCCTATAAATGGAATCATACAATATGCGTGCTTTCGTGACAAGCTTTCACTTCACACAAGGCTTTCAAAGTTCATTCATGTTGTACCACACAGATGCACTTCATGTGTTTTTCTGGCTGGATGATATTCCATCACAGACACACCACATTTTATGTATCTAGTATTCAGATGATAGGGTTCTCTATCTTTTGGCCATTCTGAATACTGTCACTCTGAACACTTGTGTGTAAGTTTTTATGTGGATGTAGTTTTTGTTTCCATGTGGAACTGCTAGGAATTCTATTTAAATTTTGGGGGGAACTGCCGGACTGTTTTCTAAAGTGGCTGCATTATTGTACCTTCCTGCCAACAATATCTGAGGGCTCCCTTTATCCATGTCCTTGCCTGCCCTTGCTAGTGTCCCTCTTTTTGATTGTAGCCATCCTAGTAGCTATGAAGTGGGATCTCGTTATGGCTTAGACTTGTATTTCCTGAATGACTAATAAAGTTGAACATCTTTTCATGGGCTCATTGTGTATCTTCCTTGAAGAAATGTCTATTCAAATACTTTGCCCATTTTTTTTTTTAAATTGGGCTATTTGTCCTCTTATAGTTGAATTGTAACTGCCTTATCCTTCTTTGCCATCTGTCCAAATCCTCCCACTCTGGAGAACAGCAAGCACATGGAAGGAGCCCCCACCCTCCCCTCCCGTTGAGAGCTCAGCCTCTCCTGCCTCCTTCCAGGGCTTCCCAACCTGACCACGAGCTCCCCCTCTCTCAGGAGAAGAGTAACACCATTCACAGAGGGACCTTCCTCGCTCATCCAGGCTTCCATCCAATGTGGTTCTCGCGACAGCCCATGGGACAGACATGACAGTCACCCTTGCTTTCAGATGAGAAAGCCCGATGCTGTGAAGTCTCTCAGAGGGGAAGCAGATCTATGAGGCTTCCCACAATGCCTGCCCGACATCACAGACGGTTCCCTCTGTCCCAAAGGACACTCAGCTGCCCCGGAAACACACAGCTCACCTCCTTCACCCGCTGCAGCATGGGCTGCAGCCACTCCGTGTTCACTTCGCAGTGGCTATCCAGAAAGGTGAGGATGGCAGCTGCGGCCACATCTGCCCCTCGAACTCGGGATCGGATCAGCCCTGCAAAGGGAGAGGACAGCAGCGCTTGACACCAGAACTGAGCCAATGTGCTGCCCAGGGCCCTCGGCCCCTATGGGCATAGGCTCTCTGAGGTATTGCCAGTGGCCTTCCTTCTGCACATCTGTTCGCTTCCTCCTTACCCTTTCTTCCTCTCTTCCATCCATCACCTGTCATTGTTCAAGGTCACTCCCTGAGCACCCTCCATACACCAGACAATGCTGTTAGGTTAGAGTGTAATGAGTGGAAAATACAATAAAGTGTGGGTTGAGACTGAGGGGGAACTAGAGCACAAAGCCTCTTCCACCTGGGGACATCTGGGCAGGCCTCTCCAGGCACACCACCAAGTGTGACATGGAGAGAATCTTCTAGATTGTAACAGGCTTGAGTTTGTGTGCCAACCCCTTCACTCACTTTGAGCATGTTATTTAGCCTCTCTGAGTCTCAGTTTTCTTATCTATGAGATTCAGAAAGATACACTGACTCCTGCCTGTCAGGAGGAACCAAGATGACAAGGGGAGAGCCCAGTGCCTGGGGGACCTACGCATGTTAGGTTCCGCTGTTCCATCCCCATCCCATGACAGTCTCACCAATGGCTCACTGACTGGCAAAGAATGGCCTTGCTTCTGGCAGCTTCCTGCTCAGGGCTGAGGACCTGTCTGGTCAGGAGAGAGGAAGTCCAGTTGGTCCTGCCCTTGCCAGAGTAGCCTTCCATGTCCTGTGAGCTGTGAGAAAGAAGGGCCTCACTCTAAGACCTCTGAATACAATCACTTTTTGGAGAGATGTCCCTGGCCACACCTCTCTCCAGCCTCTATCTATCAAACCAGCCATCCATCTTTCCAAAAGCCTATTAGTAGGCTAAGGCAAGAGAAATGCAAGTTCATGTTTGAGGGCAGCTTCAGCAACTAAGCAAAACAAAATAAAAAGGGCCGGGGATGTAGCTCAGAGGAGAACCCTCTTGGGTTCAATCCCCACAACTGGAAAAAAATAATCTGCAGCCTCCACAGGCTGATGGCCTCTACAATGCAGTGGTTTGGGAAACATTTCTCTTTGGTTACTTCTATGACAGTTTGAAGTCCTCCCTCATCAATATCCCCATGGCCCCTTGGCCTGACGGGTCTTAAGTTACCCATCACATTCCCCTCTCACTCTCAAATCATCAGTGGCTCCCAACAATAGGCTCCTTCCCTTCCCAACTCTAAATGCTCTCTTATGGCTTCCAAGGCTTTTTTTGTTGTTGTTATTGTTTGTTTATTTGTTTTTGGTACCAGGTATTAAACCCAGGGGTGCTTAACCACTGAGCCACATCCCCAGCCCTTTTAAAAAATATTTTATTTAGAGACAGGGTCTCGCTGAGTTGCGTAGGGCCTCACTAAGTTGCTGAGGCTGGCCTTGAACTCACGATCCTCTTGTCTCAGTCTCCTGAGCCACAGGGATTACAGGCGTGGGCCACGATGCCTGGCCCAACATTTTTGACATCAAAATTCACTGTTCTTTCCCCACTATGGACCAGGACTGGATTCTCACAGGAAGGAGAATCCAGGAAGCAGGGGGAGAGGACAAGAAGCTGGCCTTTGGGTAGACTCCTGGGGTTAGAATCCTGGATCCTCCATTCATCACCCTGGGCAAATTACAGAACCACCTGAAACCTCAGCTTCCCTGTCTAAAACATGGGGACAACAGGGCATTATGAGGATGGGATGTTGACAGCATAGGCTCCATGAAGGCCTGGCATGGGTGAGCACCACACACGTATGCATCCCGCGCCTGCACCACTCCCAAGCCAGGCATGCCCTCCTCTGCTCCCTTCCTGGGTCTCACAGGCCCAACACCCTCCTCAGGCCACCCCTGCACAGAAGCCTCTTGCTTTCCCACCTCCACATTATCCGACTATAACCAGCCTGTGTGGTGGTGATTTCTGACTCTTGGCCACACACTAACCCCTCGAAGGGCCTGGACCATGCTTTGTACTTCTCATGTGTCCCCTGAGGGCTGAGCACGATGCTATGCTGTCACTGGTGTTCCCAAACACCTCTGGATTCAAGGTGAGTTCACAGCTACTTTATCCTCCCTTCAGTTTTCTCAAAGCCCCTTCCATTCTATCCTTACAGCCTCCTTCCAAGGCAGAAAGAGCGCCATCACTGCCCTGCTTCTCAGAAGGAACAATGGAAGCATCCAGAAGGATGGCAAGGTGCCTAGGTTGTGCTGTGACAGGGCTGACTGGCGATAGAAGGAGGGTCCTCTGCAGACCCTGGTCCCAGCTGTCAGGAAGGGAGCAGGACCACACTGGCTTGGATGACATGGTACCCAGAGGGAGCTCACCAAGTCAGGTCCATGGTGGGACCTGAGGTCCAAGCACTCACCTTCCCGCCGGTCATTTCGCAGGCACTTGACCTTGGGGATCCTAGTCAGGAGCACGCAATCTTCAGCTGAGGTGGAGGGAAGGAAGGCAGGTTCATTCAGATATGGGCATCAGACCACAATGGTTAGGCTGCCCTGGGGGCCATCCCATTCCAGTTGGGGAAAGGGGTGGGATAGGGAACGATGGAGGGCCATGGTCATCACTACTGGCCAAAGGACTGTCCTGTCCCTAGACCCAGACAGGAATGCCTGAACCTATGACATCAGTTCAACCCCACCCCAGGGAGTGCCAGAGAGCACCAGCAATGGGCAATGGCCCAGCTCTCAAATCTACTCTTTTTTGCAGTACTGGGATTTGAACCCAGGAGGTTTTGTGGTTGTTGTTATTGTTTTTACCACTGATCTACATCTCTAGCTTTTTTTTTTTTTTTTTTTTTTTGTTTTTGGGTTTTGAACGCGGGGCCTCATGCATGCCGGGTAAGCACTTTACCACTGAACCACATCCCCAGCCCCAGCCTTTTCATTTTGAAGCAGGGTCTTGCTAATTTGCAGAGGCTATCCTTGAATTTGCAATCCTCCTGCCTCAGCCTCCTGAGTGACTGGGATTACAGTTGTGTGCCACCATGCCTGTCCTTGGTCCAATTCTCATAGACCTAGAATGAAGGGGCACTCTTCTGCATGTTGGCTTAGAATTATGAAGAATGCTATTTATATTGTTTCCATTGTTTGAAACATGTCATGTCACTGGGGTCCCATCCAAAGCAGCAACACTTTCCCCCTCTTTTGGCACCAGGGCTGGGAGGGCTCCTAGAAAGACCAAGGATCTCAGGTGTTGGCAAAGAGATCAGTGTGCCAGGCCAGGCCAGGCCTAAGAGAGCTTGCCTGGGCATCCTGGGGGAACGGGCGGGGTGGGGTGTGGATGGGTGCAGACAGGAAGGTGTATACTCACGGTCTGAACTGAAGTCATCCACTAAGATGATCTCCTGGATCAAGTTGGCAGGAGTTCGGTTCAGGACACTGGAGCAGCAATGGGGACAGAGACAGAGTCTGAATTTGGGGCGACCTCCTATTTATACCTCCCAATGCATGGCATTCTCCCACCACCCAGCTCTAGGACCTGCACATCGGTCATGGGCAACTGCTTGCTAACTCCCTGGGCTCCTGGAAGAGCTCTCTGAGTTTTTCTAAGGACCTGGTTGGCACTATTGCCTGGGCCCTCAGGGAACTGCTCTCGTCTGGGGGACTGCATTCATGGGGTCGTCAGGGCAGGAGCTACTTGAGCTGCCTGAGGCTCACCAAACCACCCTGGGAGCCCAGCTGGATGGAGCTGCCTGTTTGGAAGGCTGGCAAGACTCCTGCTGGCCCCAAGGTCATTCTCAAGGAGCTCCTGCACCCCTGCCCTTCCTCTGTCCCTCTTCTGCCCCCCTTGTCTGGGAAGGGACACCCAAGTTTCTTTAATCCATGGAATACCACTGAGCACTCCTTTCTGAATCCCATTCTTGTCTAAGTTCATTGAGGAAATGGGTTGAGAGCGGATTGAACTTGACGGTAAGACCAGGTTTAGGAGGACAGAGGGACACCTTTCTCTGATTCACCAACAGGGACCTATGGGGCTTGCCCCCCCCCCACACACCTCTGGAGGCCTCTGTTCATCCCTGCCTCCCTCTGCTCCCACCCCCTGCATTTCTGCCCTCACCCTGGACACCTGACTTTGTCTTCGACTCCTTGTTAGACTCCTGGGATCTCTCTGACCCCTGTACACACTAGCCCCAGCTTCCTGGAAGGACAGGATTCATCCTCCCAGTGCTCACTGGTCTTCACATGGTCTCATCTCAATCTCAACGTCCTGCCCGGCCAGAGGCACCGCAGACCCCCGAGGCTTTGGGGGAACAGCACCAAGAAATGCAGGCGGTGGCTGGCCTTACCTCTTCACCGTGCGCAGGAGTGTGGAGCGGGCCTCATTGTGAAAGGTGATGATGATGCTGGTGGCTGGCAGGTCTAAGGAGTAGGACACCGAGGGACAACTGAAAATGGAGCAGGGAGGTTAGAGGCCAGCCATGGGGACATCCTCAGGCAGCCTCCATGTTTCTCTTTGTCCACTCTGTGCCCCTTACAATACTTCTGTGAGGCAGGGAAGGCAAGCCGGAAGCCAGGACACAGGCTCCCTGCCCATCCAGGCCATGCTCTAGCCCACACTGGCCCAACCCCCAGATGCCACCTAGCCTGGGGTCCTAGGAGGGAAGCAGCAAGTTGGGGGCATCTCCAGGCCTGGAAGTTCCTAACCAAAGCCTGTTGGGAGGACTCCCTGCTGTTCAGGCCCCCCCCACACACACACACACACATTAGGCCCCAGGGCACTGCCTAGAGTCAAACAAAAAAACTGTCCCTGCAGATGGGGCAGTCTGGTGACACAACATAGGGGTACAGGATAAAATGGAAAACCACCTCCCTTTTGTCTTCTGGTCCCCTGCGGCTTCTTCCTTCCCACCTCAGGACATGTGGGAGGATCTGGGGAGGAATCACTCCCACCTGCCTAATGAGCATCCCTGTTCTGCCTGCGCACAGCACTGTGGGAGACACCAGGCAGGGGGCAGGCACCAGTGGCTCCAGGGGAAACCAGCCTCAGAGAGGACAAGAGCATCTCTGGCCACCCTGCTTCTACCCAGCTCTGCCATCCACAGACACATTTTTGGACCACTGGCTCCCCGTCCTCAGGAAGGGGAGTTAGAAATCACCCTTCCTGCCAGCCTTCCCCCCTGGTGTTTATGCAGGCTCCTGGGCAGGCGGGAAGGCGACTGCCACCGCGGGTTTTCATAAGCGATCTTTATTACAATCGCTGTCTGACTATTCCAGCAGTGACTATTTTTTCATTACAGAATTCATCCCACGGATAGCAGCTTCCAGCCTGAATTCCCAGGCCCATTTCCTGCCCTGCAGAGCAGCCGGTCAGCCAGGCAGGAGTCCCACTAGCCTGGGTACCCATGGGAAAAATCCTTCAAGGCTCTAAAATAATTCTCCTTGAGAAAGATGTGAGGCAGCCATGGGGGAGGGACTTTCTCTCTGTCCCTGAGAAGTCATGCTTCCCAAGTGCTTGCTCCCAAATGCCTGCAGACTGGGGGACAGGAGTGGACATGGCTAGCTGAGAAGGGGCATGAGGGCACCCAGCCTCCTGGCACTGACTTCCAGGGCCCCATTCTCTGTCCTTGTTCCCTGGTCATTAGGTGCCTCGGAAGGAGGAAATCTGGTAGCAATGCCTTTCTCTCCCTGAAGGGGGCACACCTACCCACATTCTATCTGGAGGGTGGACTTGAATTCCCACCACCCCTTGTATTCCTCTGAGATGTAGATCAGTGAGGATGGTACCCAGCTCCAGGGAGCCAGGACTAGCCAGATGGTTTGTCCCCTGTCCCTGCTTTGTCTGGCTGGTGGGATTTTCTCTGGAATCCTAGTGGATCTGTCTTGTGACAGTTTGGAGTCCAGTGGAAGCTGCCCCACAGCACAGGGGCTCCATCACGGGAGGCACAGTCCAGCCTCTGCTCACTCTATACACACACACACACACACACTTGCACACATGTGCATATGCACACATATACACCCTGATCCACCTCAGCTTTCAGAGAGGCCCTGGGGCAGCATATGGCACCTCACCAGTTCACCACTGCCTTGGATGTAAAGAGTCTTATTTTACAATGTTCATAGCCTTAATAAAGCCAATTCCTCGTTTTGTTTCGTTTTTTTTTTTTTTTTTTGGTCAAGACTGGTGATTGAACCCAGGAGCGGTTTACCACTGAGCTACATATCCAGTCCTTTTAAAATATAATTTATTTTGAAACAGTACCTCACTAAGTTGATAAGGTTGGCCTCAAACCTGCAATCCTCTTGCCTCAGCCTCCCAACTCACTGGGATTACAGGCATGAGTTATCTTGCCTAGCAGGCAATTCTTCCAATTTCTCAGTTAACATCTGAGAAGGTTGAGGGTGTGAATGAGCAAAGAGGGTGTGCAGAGATGATTCAGGCCAGCCCTTAAGTCACAGATTTGGGACAGCAGATCCTCCCAGCTGTAGGGACTAGGTCAGCCATGGCTAGGACTCCTATAAAAGACCAAGAGGAGCTTCTTGCTAACCTCATCTGTAGTGCAGGTAGTCAGGAGGGAGGACTGCCCCAGGGATGACTGAGATAGGACTCCTGAGGCCTGGATTTGGCCATCAGACCTGAGCGGGGGACCTTGCCTAGTAGCAGGATTATTGACTTATTTGGTAGCATGAGGGGAAGCTGACAGTGCTGGGGTGACAGGACAGGAGGGCCAGGGCCCCTCAGCCCTGCATTCATCTCACCGTGCACAGGCTGGAGAGCCTCCAGACCTCAGGCATGCCTCCAAGAGTGACCAGGAAGGTTCGAGAACCAGTCCCCCTGCACCGTCATCTCTCATGCGTCCTTTGTGTTATGGAGTAGCTATTTCCAGAGTCACTCTCATCTACCCTCAAACTGGGGCCAGACAGAGGCCCATCCCATCTCTGGGTACAGAGCTGGGTCCAATGCAGCTCCTGTTTGTCACTCAAAGCTGTGGGTGGGTGGTGGATCAGCAACAGTAACCTGGTGGCTCTGTCAAATGTCTGCATGGAGCACAGAGAAGGGCCTGGAATTAGCTGGAGTTGGTGAGGAACCTTCCCAGAGGAGAGGACCTTGAGCCAAGACTTGAAGGATCTAGGTGGGGTGGGGGAGGCGCGTTCAGGCAGAGGAAGCCTCATGGTGAAAATGGGGAAGGGAGGAAAGAGGAGCATAGGATTTCAGGAACACTGAGTGCTGGGTGAGAGGGTGACTGGGAAGCGCTTCTGGCTGTTGCTGAGGAGGTGGGGCAGGCGGGCAGGAGGAAGAGAAGGGCTGTGGGGGGGACGGTCAGAGCACTCCGCTGTTTGCATGGAGCAGGGCTGGAGGCCCCATTTCAGCTGCCTGCTCACCTGTCTCCCAAGCCTCCCTGTGGTCCCCTGGCATGTCACTCTTGCTGGAATGCCAGATGAGATGCTGAGGGGCCTCCCTGGTCCCAGCTGGGGGGTTTCCATGACCTTCACTGACCCCGAGTAGGCCAACAGAATATGGGAGGCAGCAATGTAGCTGGGGTGTGGGTTTTTCAGTGTCTAAATCACTAGACTGAGATTGAGGGAATCTTCCTCATTTCTTAAGTGTACATAAATGAAAAAAAAAAAAAAAAAGCTGAACAATATTGGTCCTTTCTCAGCCTTTCTTTTTGGTCCACACAATGGAGGCCATACCTGTAATGGCGAGTGTCCCGGATGGGCCTGTCTGGGCTCAGCTTGTCACTCTCCAGCTGGTTGAAGGCGTGCTGCCTGTAGGGGTCCTCTCCGGCCTTCAGCTGCTTGGCTGACAAGTATGCCTTCTCATCAAAGCCTTTTGAGGGTGTTCCTGTCACCTGAGACGAAGGTCAGCATCAGAGGGGGTACAGGCAGGAGAGTTCCACCATGTGCTGGGTGCTTAATATATTGTCCAGGTGTTAGATAACTGTTTTACCTTATTTGTACCCTGGTTCTCCCCCATTGTACAGATGAGGAAACTGAGGCCAAAGAGACTTTTTAAAAAAGTGCCCCAGATAAGAGCTACTGAGTCATAGGTCTGGATTCAAACAGGTCATTCTGAATTTAAAACTCACACTCTCAACCAAAGCTCTCTGGAGAGGATAGGTCTTGGAGGACACCAGCCTCCCAAGACAAGGTATCCTAAGAGTATTAGAAATCAGAGTGGAGATTGCTAAGCACATTTCATATTGACCCTCTCCTGGGATTAAGGTGGGCCTTCAAACTCCAGGACTTGGACACCTTACTGGGCTCGGCACAGAGGAGGTGCTCCATCCTTCAAACTCCAGGACTTGGACAAGCTGTTGCAGACGGAACTGCCCATAAAGACAAGCAAGCCCCCACAGGCTAATGCCAGAGCCACCAGAACTCAATGGACGACGCAGCTGCTCTGGGACTTTTGCTAGCTACTGAAGTGGTTCCACATCAGATCCACTGGGTCACTGGCAGTAAGTGCTGGGGAATGATGGATGACAGATGCCACAGCCCAGCTTCTCCCTCCTTAGCCACACCCTGCTCTGTGCTTCCAGAGTCCCCAGTGAGAGACACTGGGGAAAGACACACAGAGATGAATGGCTGGATGAATGCATCCTGACACCTTACTACTGGAACCAAACTTCTGGCCAGATATTCCCCATGAAACCTCACCAACTGTGAGTGCATTCCAACTCCACCTCTTCTTCCCAATCAGCAGCCCTGGGCAGGAGCTCTGGGCCCCTGAGGAAGCTGGAAGAACAGTTAGAATCTTCCATTCACAGAACCCTAGCCTAAAGGAATGGTCCAGCAAGGCGGCTGGACCTGTTGCACATGGGACCCCTGAGTGGAGAGATTCCCTTTTAGAAGGAGGCAGCTCAGAGTCCTCATGTCCCTCTAGAGTCTCACCCCCACCCTAGCAATTTTCTTGGCCAGGAAATGCTAAAGGTCTGGGGAGCTCCAACCTCCTAAACTGGGGCCCTCTGCAGGTTTGTCGTTGTTTTAAAAAATATTTTTATTTATATTTTTTAGTTGTAACTGGACACACTGCCTTTATTTTATTTATTTATTTTTATGTGGTGCTGAGGATCGAACCCAGTGTCTCACACGTGCTAGGCGAGTGCTCTACCGCTGAGCCACAACCCCAGCCCTGGGGATGTCATTTTTTTCAGTCGGCCTCCTGTTAGGACAGCCTATAGGGAGCTTTCTGAGAGGAGATCTTGTGTCCCATGGGCCTGGCCCCATGCTAGCCACAAACGCTCATGGTGTGTGTGTTCAGAGGGTGACACAGATGCAGATGTCATCCTGTAATATTCTGAGTTGGTGTCATGCCAGGAACTGAGCAGATGGGGCAGAGCTCACCCCCCCCCCCCCCCCCCGCCGCCCCGGGGTCTCAAAATCCATTTCAGGAAAGACAGAAGGGAGGGAGGGAGAGAGGGAGAGGAATGTTCTGGCTTCAGCCCTGGATTGCTCGAAGAATCCAAGCTGTCCAACTCAGTGAGAAAGGAGGGTGTTCCTTTGTGTCCCTCCCACCTGGGACAATAATGGCACTAGTGCTGTCCCTACCCTTCCTCCCAAATCTGGGTCAGGAGAATGGAAAGAAGCCTCCATCTAATGGCTGAGGAGCTAAAATTAAAGAAAAATAGCAGAGGGGTGAGTTTTTTAGCTCTGAAAGGGAGCATATATCTCTTCATTATCTTACAAGTCGACTGTGGGAAATAACCATGTTTATTTATTTAGGACTTACAGCCACTCTGTGGGTTCAGAAAACCTCTGAATACTCATCCCATACTCACTACTGCCCAATGAACATTGGTGGAGAGTCACCCATCCCCAGGTGTGGGCACCCTCCTGCACGCATTCATTTGGATCACCTGAATTCATTCATTCATTCAGGAATGATGAGTTCACTCCCTCTGTCACTCATTCATTCAGCAAAGCTCTGTAAAGCACCACCTATGCACCAGAAAGTGGGAGGAAGACTTCTAGGTCTGTCCCCTGCCTGCCCCCCTCACACACCTCGCTTACAACTTCCTTGGGCCACAGAGAATGTTGTGGAAGAACGTCTGCTCAGGCTCCGGCTCTCTAGAGAAGGCCCTGTCTAATGGAGTTAGACAACCTCACAGGTGCCATCAGGAAAAGTCTGTGGCTCCCTCTCGCAGCCCCAGATCCCTGGAGTGGCCTCCTCCAGGTGGACCAGGTCTGTGGCGAGGCACTTCCGCTGTGAGACAACTTATAAAGGACGGTGCCATGGAAACACCAGGCCCACTGCCTTCTAGAGGTCCCAGCTCTTCTTCCATGGTGACCCAGCAACCGCTTGAATTTGGAGCTAAAATATCAGTTGGCCCTGAGTCAGCAAAGAGAAGGATAGACTGAGGATGGGTGGGATGTGGCTCGTGGAAAATGCCATGCAGGACTCTCACTTCCTCCCTCCTCAGCCCCTCCCCAGCCTTGTCCAATCATCACCCAGGGCCCTTGACCTCTGATGTCTAAGTGCCAGTTCACATACCTGGACCCTAACTCAGGCTCCCTCAGGTGGTTGAACTGCTTTTGCTTTCAATCCCCTTCTTTGATCTTTTAGGACTTGAGTGTCCCATGGAAGCTTCTAACTCAGTATCTCAAAGTCCCCACTTATCCCCAGGCAGCTGCTTCTGTAGTCTTGGTTACAGAGACAGCACAAATCAAGGTCATCCTTGATGTCCTCTCCATGATCTGCAGCCTGACTCAGGCCTCTGCCCTGGGTATTAGCAGGTGGTAGGTATTCCATGGATATATCACTATCATTAACCAACAAATATTTATTGGAAATCCACTATGTGCAGGCATTGTGCCAGAGGCTGGAATACAGAAATAAAAAGCAGGGTGGCCCCTGGAAGAGGAGCCTAGGAATCTGGCCCATCCATGCCAAGCATGGCCATAGAGGGTCAGGAAGAAATCCCCACCTCAAGCTTAGAGCACAGGAGCTACAGATTTGACCCCAGAACCTCACCTCACCCCTCACCCCACCCCTGCCAGCAGGGGTAGTGACCTGTGAATGCTGTTTTCCTTCTGCCCCCTTCTAAAAGGGAATGGAGAGCTACTATCTCATATTTCCATTCAAGTTGCCAAACATGGTGGGGGTGAGGGAGTAAATGTGTCATCTGGCCCTGGGGTGCAGGACCATTAGGAGCCATAGCTGGACCAGGTAGAGACTGGAGATGCTGGGCGTGGAGTCCTTTCTGGAGTGGCTGAGATACTGTGGCTGTTGGTGGAATCCCATGTCAGGCTGGGGCATCTGAGACATGCGCTGACAGTGCTCTCTCCTCTTACTTTTGCTAGAAGGTGAGTTGTTCATCTGTGAGTCCCTAGCACCTGGTACATAGTAGGTAACTTAGCAGGTGCTTCCTGAACAAAGGAATGACTGGATGAATAAATGAATGAATATCTAAATATCCCTGCTCCCAAATTACTATATCAGAAAGAAACCAACAGCAAACAAACGAGATCCTCCAAAACATCGCATGCCCTTCAGTGACCTCGCCTCAGAGAATACTAACCCTGGACTCACAGCGGCCCATGTGACAGGGTGTCCTGTCACTGTGCAGGAGTCACTCTGCTCTAGCCACACGGGTCTCCTTACTGTTCTTTGAGCCTTCCAGGTACCCACTCCATAGCCCTCTGGTTCTTTCTGCCTTCCTTCTGGAAGGTTCTTCTCCCAGATGTCTGCATGGTTTACTTTCTTCACCTCCTGCAATGCCCTGCTTCAAACACTGCCTTCTCTGTGAGCCTCCCCAACCACTTGAGCTCCACCCGATCTCTGCCTCCACTGCTTCATTTTTCCTTATGGTACTTGTCTTCATCTGATATGCTGTTTGTATTTTACTTATTCATTTATATATTCATTTTTTAAATTGAGTTTTTAAAAATAAATGACAGCAGAGTGCATTACAATTCTTATTACACATATACAGCACAATTTTTCATATCTCTGGTTGTATATAAAGTATGTTCACACCAATTCGTGTCTTCATACATGTACTTTGGTTGCTGCAAGAGTATACGTGTCACCAGAATAGGGACTGTCTGCTTTTATAATACTGGATTCCAAAGCCCATGACAATGTCTTGGTGACCACAGATCCTTGAAGACAATGGCAAGTGAACGATTGAGTGATGAGTGATTGTGACCCTGCCCCACCCCCCCACATCTGACCAAATACAACTCTGGTGGCTCAAGCAGGTGACAGGGTAGGTTTTGCCTGCCTTAGGGAACTTCCTCTCCACTCACATGCTCCTGGCAAAGCTGTCATTTACTGCCCCCGATCCATCAACACCCCAAGCACTACCACAGGAGTGAGCACCAGACTGGGGCCAGACAATCTTATCACTGGGACTCTAGACACAGCCATTGGTTCAGGAATGATCATTAGATTCAATCTGGGCCAATCAAAATCTTCCCTGAGGCTTTTCTATATGATGAGCTCTTTTCATCAACTCTGCTGAGCTTGGGAAATGAGGATCTTCTTGTCCTTCACATGGAGAAATCTTGTCTGGAGAATGAAATCAAGAAGAAACAATGAGAACCAAGAATTGGAAAGAGTGAGCTCTGATAATATTGTATAGGTCCTTAGAGTCGAGTTCTCTCTCTCTCTCTCAGCCTCTCCATCTCCCCAACTATCCACCTACCTATTTAAATCAATTTTTCCTCCTTTTTCTCTTTCTCCCTCCCTCCCTCTGTTTTTTTCTCCTTATAAAATTAGTTTGAATTGGATGTTCTGCTCCAGTAACCAAAAGCTCAGAGATATTAGTTCTGTAGTCTTTTTAACAAATAGAAAACCATTCTCCAAAAGTGAAATCACAAAACTCAGCAAATGAGCACTGATGGCAAT